ATATCAATTCAAAGTCTGTCAATTTTCCTTTGCAATCTTTCATCCCTGAACTATTTTCTAACTCACATATTTCCAAAATGTGAGTTGCTCAATGACACCTCTTTTTATCTATAAACCACTGTGATACCTGTTTTATTTGAAGTACTATTTTGTGTGCCACAAAAACCTACAAAATCACCTTTCAACAGACTTAGCTCAGTAAACACTGTTATGATGAAACCAGGATATATTTGGATGAAAGATATATCATTTCTCATTTCATGCAAATAGGTATATCTAACATAGCTTCTCTATACAATCTAACTTCAAAGTAAAAATCACTTACACAAGTCGGTGTTGTTAGACATGGATTTTCTCTTGAGATTTTCTTGAGAGACTTTTTACTGATTGATCTTTTGAATTGACCAGAAACTCCTTCATATTTTTCAGTTTTTTCAGATCCATTCGGAATGACTTTAAAGAATTCAGATTTACTTCCAGTTGGAGAAAGAGAAAGGGTAGGCTTTAGGCTTTTCTGAGAGCTAATGGAATCTGTTTTTCTCACAGTGGAACTCTGTGGTTTTGATAAGAAGGTCTCTTCAAGGTTATGTTTGCTGTGTCCCTTATTCTTCCAGTACTCGTTTCTCCATGACATCCTCTTTAATGGGATCTCTTTAAAATCTGCTGAGTCAGATGTTCCTGGCCTGCTGTGGCTGATCTCAAGGTTCCCAGTTCTCTGGATGAATTCATTGTTGCCATCCTAAATTTAGGAAACAAAGCAAAAGTAATTCCCTCTCATCATCACACATTACAGTTCTACATAATCTTAAAATTTCAAAATGGCTCTTTAATCTCTGCTGCCTAATTCTAAATTTGCAAGGATTCTGAAAACCAGCTGCTCTTCCTGGCAACTACATTGAGTATACCATAAACACATTCTTACATCTCAAGTAGTGAAAAGTAGAAAGTAGAAATAGGAGGAGAGGGAGGCAAGATGCCAGCCCAAATTTAGAACACTGGTAACCTCCCAAACCTCTGTGATACACTATAATCATAATTTCAATAAAATTTATTACAACTATAAACCAAAAGTAAGCAAAAAGTCCATGGCAGTGATGTCTTTCCACTGAATTATTAATATTCCGTATTTTCACATCGCACCTTCAACTTAAATGTAGAAGGAATAACTCCTGCTGAGATGACTTTGCTCACCTCTGGTAATATCACTGAATATGATATTCAGTACCATTTGAATATCATTTAAGAATTTTGGAGGTTAGCTTGTTAACCTTACATTCAGGCTTCTAACGTCGTCTCTGCAAAATATCCCATGAATTAATGAATGTTCACTCATACCCCACCTCAACAACAAACAGCAAATGAGAACACATAGAAAGAAAAATAATGGGGAAGCACATCTAGTGTTTGCCTCAGTGTTCTCAAGGAAGAAACGATGAGAGACACCTCATCTTCATCTCATCATGCTGGCCCTCTGCCATATGCTACCACACTGGATGTAAGGCAGTATATATGGCAAGATTCAATAAGGCACTGAAACATCTTCAGTATGCTGAGGTGCAGTCCTACTGCAAATTACAGCGATCCACGTTTGTTACTGACTTCAGTGAGTCCAGGACTGGGTTACAAAGAATGAAATGCACATTCAAGAAAATAATCCCTCAATTTTACTAATGGTACATGTTTCAGAAGTTTATAGTTTTATTCCCTCATTTAGAAATTTCCTTGAAACACAAATCTGTATTTCCCTCTTTTTCGTGGATTTTTATTTGCCATAAGTTATCTTAATATGCATTTCCAGAACAGATTTTAAGCTAGGTTAACTTTAGATTGAAGATTACTAAAGAAAACACTGTATTTTTTCCCCACGCATTAGAGATAAGTGGATAATTTTAATTTATTTGAAGCTTAAATCCCTCCCACCTTTCCATGTCTCTTCAGCCATACATATTTACATTCTAGAATAATTTGTTAAATACTAAGTCATGAAATAGTGCCAGAAACATCAATAAAGTTTGCTTGATTAACTGTAGTGCAGCATATGTGAACTGAAGACGAGAACGATTTTCCTGAGGAACGACCACTTCCACTGATGTATTATATTCCTTGAAAGAACATGCAGATGGGCAGTTCTGGATACAACAAACTGATTACTCTTGCTGGGTTGCAATTTTAAGATCGTTCTAACGACTCTAGAGGGCCACCTACTAGGAGCAGATGGGATATAGTCCCTTTGTACGCTGAGCTTTAATACTGAGGTATCCCAGTGAAATTATCAGCCTTTGTAAGGGTACATTACCTAATTTAATCTTATTTCTTTATTCTTTGAATCGCATAAGGACAGAAACATTCTTGATTTCTTCATTGAAGGCTTGAACTTGCCTGTTACACTTCAAACAGCATTTTTGATAGCATTATGTGACATGTGGTCATACCTGACACAGTCCTACAACTCTTGCAAACAGCAAGAGTTCTTGGTTTTGTTCTGGGCTTGACAGAATCTGTAAATGCTGCCATGACAAGTTTAATTATACAAAGTCTCTGACAGAAATTTGAACTGAAAGCATGGACATTCATATAATTACAAAATAAGTCACTTGATGGTGGATGGTTCCAAGAAGAAGCAATTTTTATCCTTTACTGATTATTTGACTCTGATAATTGAGTAACAGCATTGAACTATTTCAGGGACTAATTAGTAAACACTAAAGGGAATTTATAAATACTTGCTGGTTTCAGTGTCCAGACAGAAACATTTCCTCCCTGAGAGCCGAAAGTTAACACAAACCGTATAATTCTAGCAGTTATTGTGCGTATCTTACGGCTTTGGGTATATGCAACATAAAAGAGTCGATATTCACTTATTTGAAATTTATCCTGATGCATAACCTGTCTCCCATTTTACAATTAAGTAAATATTTATTGTAGATAATACTGATTTTCCACAGATTTAATAAAAAAGTACATAATTCTCCTTTGCAGCTCTACTAACTTCAAATGTAGACTAGGATGAAACTGGAATTCAGCCTCTTTAACTATAATTTTTAAAATTCATGGTGTAGTGACATAGAAAACCCAAGGAATGGACTTTTTACCAGAGATACTTAAACTACAAAGATAGGCAAAATATTTTTTTTTTTAAATTAAAACTTTTTACCAGAGATACTTAAACTACAAAGATAGTTTTAATTTAAAAAAAAAATATTTTGCCTAAGTTTTACTTATACTTTCCCGGAGAAAGACAATTTATGCTCAGATGCAATCATTTATATTGTAGGTTGCGATATCTTATTTGATATAGTTCGAGAGTGTGTACATATCCATGTGTGTTAAATACACAAACATAATGTATTTGAATTTCAAAGAAAGCTGTAATGATCATGAGAAAAAATAATAGCGTGAAAACCTGTAACAATGTAGCTTATTTCAGCATGTAAGATTAACATATATTTTTAAAAGGCACCGTAAGATTCAGCATAAATTAGGCAAAGAAATATTTTGTCATATAAGTGAAGTAAACTGGGAAACATTATGGTTGGGCTAAAGAATTTTGGTAATTTTGCAAAGACACTAAGTTGTGCTAAAATAGATACTATTAAGTTAGCAATCTTATGTTCAGCTATCGTGGCTTTTCCAGGATCCTCTTTCCTGTATTTTCAGTACTTCAAATAAAACTGTTTTCTAGTTTACTTCAGTAATGCAAAGTAGAGCAATCTGAATATTAAATGTGTATCCAGACTATCAGTATAAAGCTGACTTCAAGAAGCAACACAGAATGTATCCATACAAGGAAGAGGATGAATATGGGTAAAATATGACTGCTAAGTAATTTGTTGGTTCAGTGACTTCTTTCACATGAAAGAAAGACTTAACTATTAATTACTAATGTAGTAGTTAGACTGAGAAAAAAACTCTTGATAATCTAGTAGCAGGCTGTAGATTTGTTTAATGTAATTATCTTCTAGCTTTGTAAGTCTAAAGCATCTCCAGCTGCAGCACTGATGCTACTGAATGCAGTTTGCATCCAAAGATAATGAATGAAACAAAGGCTGTTCCCTAGCACACCTCTGGCACATAGTCAAAAAAAAAGTTTTTAGTTTATATAATACCTTAAATCTTTTAAAAGAAAATATGGATCTTCTATCAGCCTGTCTTGCATCAGGCCTCTAGAACCCCCCTTAGTGTTGCACCCCAGCATTGTTGTTGTGCTGTAAAAGCAGGAGTACTTGGCCACTGCTTTCTCTTTGTGCACTTGGCACTGGATCTCTGGGGTAGGATGCTGGCATGGAAGGTTAGCTACCTTCATCAATGAAGGCTTAAACACCAAAGTTTAACAATTAATTTAGATTTTGATTAATTTATATAAATTTGTCTTGCTTTATAGTTCATCAGTTAAATATGCCATATGCACTGTACTTTGACAGACACTTTATTTTCACTCATCATAGCATGGCCTTTACTATTTGGTACTTCCTCAGATATTTTTGTTTGCCATTTTTACACTGCTTTGGAGACATATCTTTACAAAGGACTTTAATACCACCCTCCCCACACACCTAAAAAAAAAGCAAATTGAAAACTACTGAAGCTGAGTAAATGACAGTGCTGGAAAGCTTCCATAATTCTTATGTTATGGAAATATTTTCTTAACCTAGCTTCTACAGTAACCTCTCTGGTTTTTCATGAGCATAACAGACAAAGAAATTCTTTGAAATCCAAACAGTTCTATATCTTCAGAATGGTATCCCATAGAGCACTGCTCATGAACTATTAGCTTGACTAAAATTGATTTAATTCTGAAATTCTGCAACTTTGTTTGAAATAAAAATGTCTTATGGGTTTAAGTTAATAAATAATACACTGCCCCAGATAACAGGAAAATCCCCACAACTACAAAAAACCCACTGAGAAAATTTTTATTTCTTATAATTAGCATCAGCAATTTGCTTTCTCAGAAGCACAGAACATAGAGCAGTATTTCTGTTAAGTTCAGTCCATCTTGCTATTATGTAACTCGGTTGCATTTTATTTCTCAGCTATGAGCAACAGATTAGAATGTTAAGAAACAAATTTTATAATTAAAGATTAAATACACTATAGAGGTTCATAGAGTTAGAAACTTTTAGCAGTTACTGTAACAACACAATGCAACTATTCAGTGCATTGACAATTTGGTGAATTTCTGTGTAGTATCAGCTGACATTTGTTAAAAAATATTTCTTTTCTTTCATTAATTTTATTGCTGAAAGATTTCCACATTGCAACAGAATGATGCTGACACAGCTCAGACAGGATATAAAGCAGAAATACCAATCATCAAGTGACATTAAAAAGCTGGAATTCCTTAATTCACTTTCGACAATGTTGGTGAGCAAAACAGTCCCTGCTTAGAGTTTTAAAAGGCACAGCAAAGCCTTATTTACTGCACTCTTGCTGAACCATAACGGACTTACATCTCGCTCAAATCTATGATGCAGACTTTCCTAAAATCTTTTTTGTTGTAATGATGCACTATAGTCACATTTCTCTGTTAGCATAGGGGCTGACAGGTGTCTTTTGTCCGTTTGTTACAGAGGGTATCTCTGCATTTTCACTTCTGTGTCCCATTAGACACAGCAACCTGACAAAGACAAATCTACCTGTAGGTAAATGGGGGAAAGTTGATTTATTCTGTCTTGCTTGAAGACAGAATCTCATCCTAGGAGTTTTAGGATGAAGACTACTTTTATCAAGAATTACATGTACAAAGTGGCCTACCTCTTCACTGCTGTCAGTTCCTTGAAAGTTATCTTCAATTTGGGTTTTCCCATGCACTCTGTTACTGTCTTGCTTCAAATCCAAAGGGAAAATGCAACAATCTGGTGACATATTTGGAGACTTTCCACGAGGAGCTGATTGAGGTCTTGATGAAAATGTGAAAATCTGTTTATTATTCACTTGGTGATCACCTGTTTCATTGCTGTGATGTTCAACAGAGGCATTCTGTGGTGAGGTTAAATTATGGCAGGCTGAATCTTCAGTAGCTACGAACTGCTCGCTCCTATCCAATTGACTACTCTCAGTGAAACTTTCTGGAAACACCCATTCATCTGAAACGTATAATGTGTATTTTAATGCCAAATATGTAAATTGTATTTTACCCTGATCACACTCATTTTCTCTGGAAGCTGTATAGCAAACTAAGCTTTTCTAATATAGAAACATTCTGCTTATCAGATTTATACACTTGGAAGGGTGATGAGGATGCAATGAAAAAGATCAGGCTGCTTTTTAAATGACACAAGGTTAATATTTCCAGATCACATCTCAAAAAGTTTGCAGGCTATCATATATGACACACAAGCCTGCAATTTGTAAGTCTGAAGCTATTTAGCTGTTAAGATTCGAAACTGTTCAACTAAATTTCATTCTAGGAAAACACAATTTTAATAAATTTGGCTATTGATCTTTTTCTATAGGCATAGAATCACAGAATCATTTAGGTTGGAAAATACCTTTAAGATCATCGAGTCCAACTGTTAACTACAACTGCCAAGCCCACCACTAAACCATGTCCCTAAGCACCATGTCTTCACGCATGTTTGTGGCTGACATTTAATAAAAAAAGCAAAACCAAAACACACATAGTTGGTGGAAAGTTCATAATATTACAATCTGCTCCTTCTTTATTGCTGAAATTCTACACTTTCTTTTATGTCAAGAACTTATGGTTTAAATCTCAATTTCAAACTACAGCTCTGATGAAAAATGTTGTGACATGAAAAATGTAGGAAAATATCTGTTTCACCAAGTTTCCCTGAATATGGGTAGTACTAATCTGCCAATTCTAAAACAAACAATAAACTACAGAAATGGATTTAAAGATTGAGTGCACCAGATAAACATGAAAAGGCCATTTTTATAGTCTCATTGTTAACTTATATTTTACTGTTTGGAATGATGGCCTAGAAAAAAATGTCAATTTGATTGATTAAAACCAATCCCAAATAGCATCTGAGAAAAGGAGAACTGCTCAAGGATGCAATACTCCCTTATCTTCATTAAAGGTAGTGTGGTGTGGATTATTCACTAGATCTTGAAACCTTCTGGCTCCATAAAACAAAGTTACCACCAACCGTATTAAAAAAGGCTCAATAAAAAAAAATTACTAACACCGTAATAATAAAGTAGCACTGCAATAATAAAGTGCTTGCTGTCACAAAAGACAGTATGTTTACTATGGTATTCTACTCTTTTTAGTTTTGTTAGAGATAATTGTCACTTCAGGCAGATTCAGCAGCTTTTAGGGGGGAAAAAAAAGTAAGTCTGAACCACCATATATGAAGGCAAAAGAAAGAAGAATGAGAACGCCAGGAGAAAGAGCTGTCATCTTACTAGGTTGCTGTGAGCTTTCCAGTTTACTGACGATAACTAATAAAGCTACCAAACTCCAGTTAATATCCTAAACAGTAGTTTGTATGGGGAACTAGTGAAAGTAGGGACTTAACACATCTTGTACATTCACGGCTTGCACCTACATGTTCCATAAGACACAATTTTTCAGTCTCTACATGAAGACAATCTCCAATGAGAAGCGCCAAGGCTTTTCAAGTAAACTTTTTTATATTAGATAATCATGCTGGTTTAAAATAATCTAGTAGATCACTGTGTACTGTACATAAAATGTCTATTTTGTAAATATACAGAAATCTCACCTTGCTTTTAATTAGTAAAACACTTGCAAGATGAACATGTAAGTAATGTCATTTATTTTACAAATATTTAGGACTAGTTTTTCCAAGAGCCTCAAGAAATGAGTGAAACTATTAAAAACTTTTAACAAGCACCCTTCATTTGTGTAAACCCAATGACCTTTTGTTCTGATCAGTAACTACAAGTTTTTCAAAGGAGGATACTAGAGCAGAATTCTCCTGTCTTTGATCACTCAAGACTGTGTCACACTCCTCTGACAACACATTTTTCTTAGTCAGGCAATTGGAATTACATGTGAAAGGCTGTACGCAAGTAAAACAACTGAAACCATAAGAAAACCACTAATTTTCTGTCTGCGCATCTCCAGTATTAATCACGAACTCACATTTCACAGTTTTCATGCTTTCACTGTATTTTACTATCGATATAATCTGCATTTTTGAAGTATTATTTCCCCTATAAAAATGAAACAAAAGAGGGATCTTCTCATTAACTTTTCATGTGAAGCTGAACACAGTTTTAGGATGCTCGAGAACAAATACTCAGGAAATTTTTTTTCCAATTGATTTTGTGACCTAACTTGAGTAAAAAACTATCTTGCACTAAATCAGTATTTTAAAGTACCCAGTCGTTTGTCCAATAGGAACATGGCCTACCAAGCCTGAAATTGTTTTGAATGTCTTTGGCCCTAGAGATGTCACTACATCTGCAACTCCAGAAAGTGCTATGCAGAAATGCCACAAAAACATTACTTATGCCCAAACTTCAATTGGCTGGACAACTCTCCTGTATGTAAAGAGATTTTTCCCCAGCTATTCTGGATGCTCAGTCTGAAATGCTCTTAACTCTTTTTTTTTCTAACCTTGCTGCATTTTTCAAAACAAAAAATATCTTCAAAACTTACCTGAGACAGTTTTTACATTTTTTGCAGTTTTTTCTATCTCAGCACTCTGCAGTCTTCTGACCGGTTTGGCACCACAGTTTAATCTAGCCATGTTTTACTTTAATGGCAGTGGCTTGACTTAGATCAAGATGTGTATATATATATACACACACACACACGTATATATAGTATAACATATACTACTTTAGTATTCAGAAGGCTTTTTCCCCCACCATGAATGCAGGTTTGACATGTATCATGCTGTCTTTGCAGTTTTCAAATATGCACTAATAGCTCAGAGCACTGTAACAAGCCCTCTACATTTATTGTACAAACCACTTTGTGAGAATCTGCTAATTTTTATGCACAAAGAACTGTGAATAAATCGAGAGGAGTGGCTTAATTTTTATTATGGCCTACTGACTTAATAGGAACCAACTTCCCTAACTGCAGTCTCACCTGTTCTATTCTCATTCTAGAATGACTTCTAATGCAGTTGTTGCTGTTTAATTTGCAGAGGTTATTACAGGCAAAATTTTATAATGAATTCTGAAGCAAATAAAGGTGTTAAACCTCTTTTTTTTTGATTTTAAGTTAATTTTGAATTAAGTATCAAAATATAAAAAAGAAATCTTAAGTAATAGTTTTTGTCAAATGCTTAGAGAAGAGGCAGCAGTTAGAAGCTTAAAATCCTGACTTCTCCTGGCTCTGACATAGACATCTGAAAACTTCTTACACATCACTTTACTCACCATTGTGAGTAATGTCTTTACTCAGATCAAAAGTACTTCAGAAACATAAAGAAATCCTTTAAAAGATTTAGTGTCTGTATAGGATTTACCCTGAAAGTTCTGCTTTTTTAGGCTAACCTTCTCTATAAAGACCAACATTCTTTTCCAGAGATGTTGAAGAAACACACTTGGGTTAGTAATAAGTTCAATGGAAATATTAGTTTGTATACCACAGTACTTATTCTTAATGAAATATGCAGGAGGAAGACAGAAAAGTCTGTAAGGCTTTAAGATGACATTTTACGCTGGTTACAGAGCTCAGCAATTTCTGTAACCTGTAGTCAGTGTAGTGTTTTGTTAATAGTCTACAAGTGAAAGATATGCGGTGTTTTGGACCAAACCAAATCCTATTATCTCTCCACCACAAACTATACTGGAATTTCTTTTTAACTCAGCATTTCCATGTCAATCGTAATGAACAATTTGGAGTATCTTCTTCGCAAAATATGCAAATTACTATGTAATCACAACATTGCAGCAAACAAGATAAATGCAAGAATGATCACCTAAACATCTAATTAGTTCTTCTACACAGTCAGACTTATGCTAAAGCTTCTAATTGCAGCCTAACATTTTAATGAAGGTTTCAGCATTGCATAAATAAGATTGGCAAACTATAAACAATGCTCACTCATTTTATTTTTTCCCTTGCTTAAAAACAATTTACCATTGTAAAGGTACTGCACACCTGCTACAGAAGACATGCTAATTAAAGCTCTATAATAAATCTAAAAGATTTTATTACAAATAGCAGCACCCACCTATAAGGTAATAGGATCACCTATGAAAGCTCCCCTCCCACAATAAAATTGAAAATAATATTTACTCAAGCTAATGGCAGAGTAAGTGCAGTACTGTCCCAAGACCACCATAGGATATGGTTGCATAGGACTCAAGAATATTAAATATGCTGGTAAGAAGAGAGTAGTGTACAATACATTCTTGTACATGTAACTTGTTTTAACCACAGTGTAAACAGTGAGCCAGAAACCATGTAAGCTTGCGCTTGCCTGGGGAACATGGCTTTGTGCCAATGACCTGTCACAGGTGTATGTGCATTAACATTTTGTCTGAAGTGTCAGGACTATGCTTTTCACTGGGTCATCACCATGGAACCAAGCCTGTGGTTGTTCACTATGGAGTAAGATCAGTTTGGTTTCCTGACTAGAGCATCAATCCTGAGGTTTCTAGGGTTACAATCCTGACCGTTTGCATGAACAGCATCTACAACACCAGTTATCACAGAAATCATAATTTCTTTGCTTTTATTAGAAAGTTATTTTTAAAATGTGAATGAAAATGTGAAACAGTTCGGTAAGAAATATGTAGTTGTTTTGTTCTCTCATCTGATATGTTGTTGTACACTTCACTTTCTTTTGTAAATGATTTGTACAGTATTTTATGCAGATGTATATGTGTAATTTTATTTAAAAATATTAGGTTCCTCATTTTTTGTTAGATGTTTCTGCTTTTGAATTCCCTCCCCCCCCCCACCCCCCATCTCTGTGAACCTTTCCTCAAAGGATGCCTATCATTCTCTGAGGTAAAGTTTATCCCACTTTGGATGAAGTTTAGAAGAACAGCGCATAGAAGAGGACTTTTCTTGATTAATAGGTTGCCTACAGGAAGCTCTTCAACACAGATGAATCCAGTACTACAGAATAAAGAAACCATTAAGTCATCTACATATCACTAGACATCTTCATATATTGAAAAGAAACTGAAATCTGCAAACTGAGCTCCAAGTGACAAGCAATCAAAATATGGAAAAAAAAAGTTTGGAGAATTGTAACTTATAAACTCACATGGTGACTTTATCTGCCTGTACACACAATTAAGACTGTATAGAAACACTTTTATTCTCACAATCAGTAAAATAACAGTGTTTATACATAGCTTTCTTCCTCAGTTCTCTGCTTCTGAATTTACAATAGGGTATTTAGACAACCCAGTCTACTGCCCTAAGTTTCTGCCTTTTCATATCATTTATATTTACATAAAATAACAGGTATTGATTAATTTTTTCTGAAATTCTAGCACTAGATAGAGGCCCTGGTGTTCTAGATAACGAAAAAGTAAGACAATGATTCCTGCCTCAGAATCCTCAAAATTCAGGTAAATAGGAAGCAATTAAAAAATCCTCCAGAAGGCTCTACTTGCCTTAGCATCTTGCATCTGTTTCAGTCAAATTATAAAACCCGTAACAGCAATTATGGATTACTGACAATTGTCATAGTATATAGTTGCTTTTAAACATCCCAAAGATTAAACAAAATGGAAATAACAGTGTGAAGGAAAATTTCTTTGGTCAATTTTGAGCAGATTTGAGTAGTTTGTGGGCTTTACAAGTTAGTGACTATGCCTTTTAACAGAAAGTAACACTACTTTTTCATAAAGACAAGGGCTATTTTTGCCACAATAATGTAACTTCCAGACACATGCAAAGCAAGTTGATTGACACTGTATGACAAAAAATATCCACACCTTTTGGCAGATAGGTGTGAAAGGGAAAAAAAACCCCACATAAACGGAGGTGTCTTTCTGTGAATAAGAAAAAACTTCAAAATCAAAACAAAACCCCCTGGTATTATATGGATAACAATTAATATCCTAAACACTTGTCTGGGACAAGTAAAATTTCTTTTATATTTGAGGATTGGAGTCTTCAGTGTTAAATTTAATGACATAAAGAATAAATTATTTTTAGTTCTTTCCCTTTAATCATGAGAGCACGGAATTTTTCTTTTTTTATTCATTCACTGCTCTGGTACTCTGCTTAATCCTGCAAATCTTTATCAATGCTCAAAAGCAACTCTGTTGCAGGGTGTTTGATTACCATAATCCCCCACAACACAAACATTTATGTTATGTGAACTGTTTCTGGGTCCTTTGAAATTTACAAAACTACACATAACTGATGTAAAATAACATAAAATGAGCACCATACCACTGGTTATCTCCCATGTGTTTTTGGCTGCATGACCATTCTTGTCTGCTGATGGTCCTTGTGGTGATGTGAGCTGAAAATCTGCTCTTCCACTCTCAGAGTTTTTCAGAGTCTGAATTGCAGGGTCTGAAATACAACCCAGAAGCTTATGAAATGCCTGTGAACACTCATAGTGTGTGCTTTTCTTATTTGAGCCATGGAAAAACAGCATATGGAGCATTGTCCTGGGTTACAAACATCTCCCAAACAGCACAGGAATCTTGTAGGGCAGCAGGTATATGACATTCACAAGAAAGTAATAATTTAACACTGGGTATGGAAGAAGGGAAAACCACAGAAGTTATAAAAAACAGACTTGCAAAAGTCTTCAAAATAATCAAGAACTACTGCGGTATCCCAGTTCTATGCACAGCATGAGGGCAAGAGGAGTATGTGTATACCCTGTGGCTACTGCCAGCAGGTGGTGATCCCTGGCTCAAATACTTACAATACAAATACCTGCAGAGAGAATGAGCATTTATTCAACTCACACAAGAGAATAATCCATGATTTAATATAAGTGTCTTCAGTAATTAACAAGGTAGATAAAGGATTAGAAAAAAACAGAGAATTAAGTCTTACATTCAGAAGTCAGAATCATGCAAAAATTTTGACAGTTTGTGAACTCTACATGTTCTTTGATTTATGCTCTTACCATTTTGACATACATCTTTAGTTATTTGATGAGTATTTCTTTTGCCTCCTTGATCTAAAGAATCACTGCATGGTGAGAATGATTGCTCCAATCTCTCAGGGTCTTGTACGGATTCAGTTCTCTTTCCTGAACTTTGAAGTCGGCATGACCTATTACTTTTGCTACCCCAGGTCTTTGTTACCTTAAAAGACATTATTTTCTTAAAGACAAAAACATAACAGCTTTCAAAATACTCAAAGGTAAACACATATTTTGAATTAAGCTTACATTTCAAATAAATGCTTAGATTTTTTTTTTTAAATATTATCTTTTCAGGAAGGTAGGTTCAGTTCTGTGTGGTATCTTTAATCTTTACAGTCTAGTAACAGGCAGGGTTTTCACTGAGTGAAAGGAAAACAAGGCAAAGAAAAGGAAAAAAAAATAAAGTTCACTATCTGGATTAAAAGACAGTGAAACTTGTGGCTATTCTAGACCTCAGAATGAGTCCTTTATTCTTCAAAGAAAGGAATCTCATTTTATGTCTTAGCTTTCAATTGTCTTCCCACAGAATAGTCTACTTCCTTTGGATGGATTTATTCACAGTGTTAAACTGGGAATTGTAGGCCTGACCAGATTCCCAAAACCTGCATATTGTTTGTTGGCAGAGTGAGACCAGCATTGTAATTGATAGCATCACATGAGCTACTGTGTGGCTGACTATCATCCACTTAGAGCATACCGAAATGCAGAGTTCCTGCTCTGCATCATAGCTCTCATCATAAGGAAAAATATTTACACAAACACACAAATTTCAGCAGTCTAGAACAAAAAATTCAGAAAAATAAGAATGATAAGAAATCAGAGAGTAATTTCAGTAGGAAGAGACCTCTTTAGGCCTAATACTGAAATTAGATCAGCCTGTTCCAGTCAAGTGTTATCTTTAAAAGTTTTGAAATTCCACAGTCTCCCTATGACCCTGTTCCTGTACTGAACCACTTTATTGTTATACCCAGTCAGAGCTTCCCTGCAATTTGGGCCTGCTGCCTCTTGTCCTTTCGTTGCACCTCTTAGAAGAATCCGGGCCTGTCTTTTCTACAACCCTGCAGTACCTGAAAACAGCAACTAGATTCTCCCTTAGCCTTCTCCTCCGGAGGCTGAACAAACCCACGTCATGTGCTGCAGCCACCCAAGCATTTTACTTGCTCTCCATTGGGTGTTAGACTATCTCTCACATGGGGGTCTGTGACCAAACACAGTACTCCAGACACAGCCTCACATCAGTTCTGAAAAAAACTTTAGCATGACTCGTGTTCTTGTTAATCTCGTCCTTTGTAGAAGTGGCATCAGTTTTGCTGTAATTTAAGCCTTCTCACCTCTCCAGATACCCTTGTACTGATTCTTCTGTTTGAAGATGGAGGTGGCCCAAGGATCTTTGATCCAAATGCAATATGTGATACATCCTGAGTTTTACTGCTGTGTACATTGCCTTGTCCTCTATTAACCAAACTGCCTAAGTTAAGAAAAAGAATAGTTTTAAAAAAAATTACAGTACTTACAAAGAATAAGTATTAATACTTCTTCAAATCAACTGAAATAGAATAATTATGAATACTAAACATACATAAAAAATGATGTTCCTTTAATGCACAATCCCTAGAAATATGTAGGAATAGCAAATGCACATTTTATAAAAGTGTGTCAACATACAAGCAAGAAACTTCTGGTCTATTATATAGACATATTTCTAATCTCCTTGCTTTAAAGATTTATTTTTAAAGGGGCTATTTATAAACAAACAAAAACATTGCATGATTTCTTTAGAACTTCAATGAAAGCCTAACTTCTGTCAGGAAGAAAAAACAACTCTAATTAATAAATAACAAAATAAATAAATAATAACATGAGAAAACTGAGGTAAGACTATCAAGGTATCAGTCACAGCTTGGAAGAGAACTATCTACATGTAGCTTGCTTTTTGAAATTACTGAATCTACTGTATTACCAGGGCTGAGCGCTAATATTGCCAACACACTCCATTCCTGTTAAAATGTTGTACCCCTTTCATTATTTCTTTTTTTACTGTTTAAAATATAGATATATTTTCATAATTCTTTTTAAGCACAGAAAATGCCAACCTATCTGCAAGAGAAACAAAAATGGAATGCAAGTGAATGTTCTGACTAAAATTTAAAAGGGAAGGACAGTGAAATGGTTACATATTACATTTATCACCAGGGTTGCGGAACTGCATGTAATATCTGTTTTCCTCTTTTTTAATTCTCCAAGATTGTCAGTGAACTCTCCTTTCCAGAACTGATAAAAAAGGGTATCTTCACATTAATTTATAGTTAAAATTTATGTCTGAAGATTTTTCCTAGCTATAACTTGAGTGTTAAATTGCTACCTCACTTCAGAGGTCTGACACCTTCATAAAGCAATAAAGTAGAAACAAAACATTTTGTCAATTCCCCTAAGCATTTTTCATAGAATTATTTAAACTTATTTCAAGATCAGCTTTATTTCCAGTGTCATCAAGGAAATGAAAAAAGATCATGCATTAGCCACCAAATATCATAATTTACTGTACTAATAAGCACAAAAGAAGCCACTTTCAGCCATTACCTTCTTCCCTTTTTCCTGATGTGACATTTGGTTGCTGCTAACAGCTGCCATTTCACAAGATTAGATGACCTGTCTTGGTTTAACATCAATTTCTTTAATTTGCTGACTACCTTGGGATGTTGTTAGCTCCAATTATAAAAGCTGATTTGCATGAAAATCTCTCTTTATGAACACATTAATTGACTGCAATTAATTACCTCCATCTACACATAACAGTGTGCTGATGACATAATGAAATAATACGTGTAATTAAAAGTGGATGATACTAAAAATAATTTGGGGTTTTAATTATCAAATAAACAAAAAGTTTAGCAGATGAAAAGAACATTTTCCAATTAAAATGCACTTAAACATACCAAAGCTTCCATTTTCAAGAAGGCCAACTTCTGAAATTTGAAAATCATGTCTGGAAGAACACATGCTATGTTCATAAAATAGGATTAAAAATAAAAATTAAAACTTAAACTGAAGGCATTTCATTTTCATGCAGGTCAGGGATGTTATCATTAATTATTTTACTACATATACCTAAGGGCTATATATCTTTGTAGCCTGGATGGTCAAACCTGAGTCCCGTTTTAAACGAACATTCGTTTTTGCGTTTAGATAAACCATTCACACTGTTGTACTAATTTAAGTTTTACAGTCCCTCGTATTTTGACAATCCAGCCAAGAATTATTGATTTTTGAATACAGTCACTTGAGAAACTGAATTCCAGAGCTTCCTCTGCTATTTAAAAAGCAGACATAATCAAACTTCACAGTGGAACTTTGGCTTGACTACTTGTAAGGCAGTAACACTCTAAAAGTATTATTTGGCCTTTAATATTACAAAAATGGGACTTGCATGTAAAAGAAAGCTGAATATAATTTAAATAAGTAAATGTATAAAGGGTCTTACTCAAAGCAAAAATTTAAAACCCCTCCTACTCATTTCAGCTGCTGTCGGACAAAGACTGCCTTTACTAATGAGGTATATCAAGAGAGAGCAAAAGTTAACAACTTGAAAAGGCATCAGCATGGTAGCTTAGTGCTGATGATAAAACCTTTATGAGTTGTTTTTTTCATATTCCAGTAAAAGCAGAAGAAAATTAGTTTAAAAAATGTCTTCTTAAACCTTTCATATTTTCAAGGTTGTTATCAAAGAAATACTTCCTTCGAAGTTTATTTTTCTTTATAGTTTCATGAGATGCTACACATTAAATACTATTGTTAGCTCTAATAGTCTTGTCTTTCATAGTATTAAACTTCACCAGTAATTACCATTCCCTGTAACTGATCTTATTCCTTTGGTCAACACTTTGCACATGTATTTTAACAGAAGAGCAGCATTTTAACAGAAATGGTGGAAATGATTATTCACTGAATTCAAACGCTAAAGATAAGAATCCTCAAAACCGAGAAAGTACTAAACCAGTGGAATAAAAATGTATCTTTTTTACCTACAGCACCACTTCTAACATTGCTTACGTTGATGAAGATGTATTGGAAATGGATTCTTTATCTAATTTGCTTGTTCAGACCCACTTCTAAGCTACTTCAGACCTACTTCCTTCTCAAAAGAAGTTTTAGTATGATGAATCAATGACTCACAAAAGGTGGTACAGACTAAGGGGAAAATGAAAAACTTTAGTACGACATTGAAATTATTATATGGGACAAATTAAAGGCTTAGTCTTGTGTCTCGTACAGAAGCCAACAATAACATAAGAAAAGAGTAAAGAGGATGCCTATAGAGAGAGATTTCACCTGTGTATTTTTCTAAGCTCTAGCAGTAAGAAGTTTATGTACTTCTTAAGTTTAAGCTGAAAATAACAAATCAACTTTTTAAAAGGGGTGAAATTATCGGTTCTTCATGAAGGACATGCGTCAGAGCATACAAAATATTCTCATTTTAAAATCCATTATAACCCTCTTTTTTAAGAATGGCTCACACATGTTCTAGAATATTTACTGTTGCAGATGGATCTACAGAATAACTTTTTTTTTTTAAAAGAGTAGAGATTAGTTATGTGTAACTGGATTTACAAAAACAGTATCCTGGGAGCGAGGAAATTATATTTTTGGTATGTTTAGAATTCTAGTCAATGAAATGTACTAGTAGTGAAAAACATGGGGGTTTTCTACATTGATTTATTTCCTCATTGGAAATGTAGCTGATGTCTTCAAAACTCAACAACTGATTTAAAAAACCCTGATTTTGTTCAACCACAAAAACCCCTGTCAATAGCTGAAAATTGTATTTCATTCTTTACATATAGTTACCTTAAGACCACTACTGTTCATGAATAATTTTACAACAACAGAATTCCATTAATGAACACAATCTATGTCTCCTACTCTATTGTTGTTATTTAATGATGATCTATCTCATTACAAAATTGTTTTAATGAGATATTTGTTATTTTGAATCAAAACATTAAGGACTGTAAAGACATTTGCCTTAGTAAAATTTTGCTATTGACTTTACTGCAGGGAAGCAATACACAGTTTTAAAGCAAAATGGTCGCTTTAGTAAAAAGTCAATTGTCTGACCCAAGTCTATTTAAGCAATTTTACATTCAAATCTTGGCATTTGCTTCTACAGTTCAGTTTCTAATGATACTTGGCTTACAAATTTAATGCAGACATGTGAGTTTAAACATAAAAGCACAGGAAGTGCTATTCTAGAATAGGCCAATAATCTGTCTAGTATCAAGTTTCAAACAATGGCCAAACTCGGATGCTTCAGAAATGGCACAAAATAATCTCAATAGGGATTTATGAAATAATCTGCCTTCAACACAGTTCTTTGAGTAAGGTTGGAAAAACCTAAAAGTATAAGATTAAATTTTCCCTTCACATTTTGACTGGTGCTAAATATAACGACATGGACATTACTCTTACCCATATAAATGGCCAACTGATTTTGGAATCACGCAAATTTCTTTGCTTCACCAGTATATTGTAGTAATGGATTCCATATTGTAATCATGTTCTGTGTAATACAGTATTTTCTTTTATCAATTTTTAATTTTCAACTGCATCATCACATCAAATGAGGTCTTATTTTTGTGCTATGAGATAGGAAAAGCAGCTTTTATTGAACTTTCTTTGTATCACTAGTTACTTTATAAACTCCCTTAAGCAATTTTTTAATGTTTTCAGCATATCTTCACATAAGAGTTTTTCATTCATGCTGCTTCTCTCTGAATCACTTCTCTGTCTGTAAAATCTTTTCTGAGGTGCTTGAACTGATAATGATTAAAGTATTTCAGATAATAATGCAAAACTGATTTATTTAAAGGTTTGATGCTTTTTCCATTTCATGTGAATTTGAACTTCCTGCTACACAGTATCTTAGGTTTTTTTAAAATGTAGCTACATATTAATCTGAGCTATATCTATGGTGATGATAACCTTCCCTCCTTAAGCCATTTAATTTTGACACTTTAAAGCTTAACTGTAGTTAACATTTCTCCCCAACGTACAATCCTTTGTGTTTATCATATCTAGATTTTCCATGGTATCATGTTACACATTTACCTAGTACAGTGGTCCCTAGCTCATCATTTTTCAGCACAGCGAGCACAAGAAATAAGAACTGTAAACTGAAGCTTTATTTAGCAAAATACGATGGTTCCTGCACATTAGCTGCTCTGTAGCATTCTTCATGAAAAAGTACACAGGGATTGCCCATCTTACAAGTTTAAAACTCTCTGAAGTCCCACTCTTTACTAAGCTACTATCCATATCATATGAAAACTTTGCTTCCACATTATTCACTTCTCTTTTGAGATTATTCATAACTGTAATAAACAATATAGAGCCCAGAACAAAAAACTTCTGAGGCCTCCTTCTGTTAAGCCTTCAGCTATAACAAAAATTTAAAATTTGATCCTCTGTTTGCTTTCTGTCTCCTAGTTTTTAACCAAGTCAATAGTTTGTGTCTTGGCACATGACAGCCTAGCTTCTTTAATAAATCTCTTCTATGCAATGCTGTTGAAGTCTAAGTTATATGTTTTATTAACTTCTAGCCTACAGAAATATTCAAATAAATCCAAGACAGCAATAAGAGAAGACATCTGTTTTCAGACTATAAACTGAGATGACTATGCATGGTCATATTGTTAGAAGAGTTTCAGGACTGTAAACATACTTTAAAAAGAAGTGTACCAACTGAACAGCCATAGTTCAATGTACATTCAGAAGACACATCTCAAATATTGCTATTATAGATTCCACACTTTAATTCCAATTGTTCAGGCTACACATCGATCTCAAACTATAGAACAGACATGTCTATATGCTCATGATATTACTGCTATGCAAGAGTTGTCATGTTTTATTTTAAGAGACTGGAACTTCTAACATGCACTTTTACAAAAAAATTCCATTATTTCTATGCATGCTGCATAGATTTTATTCACGGTATTTTAATACAACAGAATACCTGTTTCTTGCACTGTTACTGGATATCTCCTGCATTTTATTTCTGGCTTGTGAATTTTAGTCAGGTTCAGCAATTGTGTAACTTGTGGCACATCTGTATTTAGCTGGCAGGTTCGAGGAATAACATCTGTGGGCTCATATGGCATAAAGGGAACGACACACATATCTAGAATCAAAAAACATGGGCTTTACTTCACTCAGAGGACAACAGAATTAAATTTGACTTAGATTATTTGTTAGGTTACATATACTTCAGTTTGTATGTTTATAACAATTTAATAGATTACAGTCATTTGAAGAATTTGCTTCAACTGTTCACTTTTAAGACAAGAAGCATATAAACTTGAAAATTATGTTGTCTATTTTTTAGGCCAAAAAATTTGAATACATTTAAACTAAGAAAATGCACCAATGGCTGGAATAGCCATAGTAAATCAACTTCTTTGATTTAGGAAGTGAACAAGCAAAACAGAGTCAAAAATTATATTTTGTTAATTTTTATTAGAACTCAGCTTTAATTCTAATACTGATATACTAACTTTCAGACAAAATGAACATCTGAAAATGGTGTTGGTATAAGTAGGACTGAAGTAGCAAATAGAGAAGTCCCATATATGCAAATAAAGAATTTGACAAGCTTTAATTCCAAACTTTGAACACCCATACACTTTCATGATAAACTAAAACAGTCAACCTGTCTATTCTTGTAACACCAGGCACTAGTAGAATGTTATCTGATTGTCTCTGCTTTCCCTTTGATAATCAATATAGATGTTTATAAAGTTTATGAAAGTTATTCTCTACGAAGAAAGGTATCCAAAGTAAGAACCTTTTCTTCCAAATTTTGCCAGACTTGGATACAAGTAAGCTAATGAATATTAGCCTCTTTTGCAAGGATAAGAAGAGGAAAACATAACCCCCAAACCAAGCACGAATAATGGACCAAATATTGAGATCCTAATAGAAAAATTCTAGTGTCCCATGTTATATTTCAGTAGTGGACATATTTTTTCAACCTTTTTTTCACCAAGCCAGTACATTATTTACCACTGTAAGACAATACTTAGTGATAAAAAACCCATATGTAACCTCATGATTACTATGGAAACCAGAAACTAGGTATCTATCAAGCTTGTACGCCTCAGTATCGTGGGGCAGAGAAGATTAATTCTTTCCTCTTCTATCTCAATGATCTCATACAGAAATAATTTCTTAGTATATGTGGTTTATCTGTTCCACTTGCTATCATTTTAAGAATGCAAAACATACTGTGTACAAGCTACTAAGAAAGAGTAACACGCACATTGCACCTTGAAATCACTACTTCCACCACAAAGGAGGTTTAAGCAAAGAACCCAAACCTCATTATATGTCACTGTGTTGTCAAGCTCAACTAACCGGTCCAGTCATCTGAGAGGAAAAAAGCTTTATCAAATCATGATTAACTGAAAGTTAATTAATAATAACAAAATCTACTTTATTTTATACCCAATTACAAAAAAACCAGAGTTATTTTAATACAGCCAAACTTTGAGCTGTAATGTAATTTTAAGACTTGCCTAGATAAGGAAATTCATAAGCATAGGGAAAATTCTAATGCCCACCAGCTGTGTAATAATCACAGAATTGATAATCCAGTAATTAAAAGTACCATATTTTACCATGCATACAGTTTATTAAAGCTGTGTACTCATTATGCTAACTACATTTTGGAATTTTGGAACTCATTTAGCACATTTATGCACATTTCAAAAACTGTTTAGAATGGAAGAGAGAAAAAATGCACCAGCGGAATTAAATCAAAGCCAGCGAGGCCTCTAACTGCAATTTCTGCTGAGAATTTACCAGATTCTCTCTGTAGTCATTTTTTGAATTAATTTTTTTTTCCAACCTCACCAACAAAAAACCAAAAAAGGAGTAATCACAATGATCACACGCTCTCCCTTATTGGTTTAGGTTTCCCAAATGGGAGACACATGTTATTACACTTAATACTAACGACCCTTCCTTCAGAAACCAGAACCCTTTTTTCAGGGGTGTTCTTTAAAAGCCACAAAATGAAAATTTGAATGAAATTGAAGCTGGACTATACCTAGGGTCCCTCTAAAATAAGAAAGTGCCAGCTATGCTGTTTCAATTCCTCCTCTGCTACTGCAAATATCAGAGAGAAGTGAAGTTCTCTCCTTTGGAAAACAATGATTCAGGATTATGATGCTAGTTTGGAGGCTGGTAAACCTTTGACCAATATCCTGCTCCATTCTTACAATATCCTGCTGATTCATACAATCTCTCATTTTTGAACTCACCACCAATATACTTTGCCAATGAACAAGGACACATTAAGAAAAATGGAAAAGATCAGACAGAGGTGTTTATGACAATTTCATAGCTCTGCTTCTTATAATACAGCTTTGTTACAGTTTTGTCTTGGTTTATTTAAAGAAGAAATTTTTCATTCGCTGTAATGTCCAAAATTAAGAAAACAAACAGCAAATGCTGCTAAGTTTAAGTATTTGTCTTTCCTTTCAGACACTCTCTTCTTGGCCAAAATCTGATTTCTATCAGCATAAGGTAACCTCATTAAAACAAGCTCTCTAATTGATAAATCTGGTCAGAATTTCTTCAGTAAAATACTTCTTGAGGATATCAATGTTTAAAACAGAGGTATATACATATTTATTTAGTCACCTAAAGTACAACACTAACAGATTTAATATGCTGTACTACCCCTTTAATTTTCATGAAATGATATAATCTTTCAAATTGCCAAACTCATGACTAAGAAGCTTTTGATTTCATAATATGAACAGTTATGATTAAGACTACACAGTAATTATAACACACCATCTTCCTCAGCTGTATCTTGAGGCTTGGATTTTAAAGTGAAGATCTTTCTCAGTTTACAGTTAGCTGAAATACTAATTCCATCCAAAGACTGGAAGACAGCTCCTCTGAATATTTCACTGGTGAATGCTACCAAGTCAATACACATATTGCACCACTAGAAAAGAGAAACAATACTCTTTAATAAAATCCAAACACTAATCATCACAGAAGAGTATTAGTGTATAGCTTTCTATAAATCAAGTCCCTGGAGTATTAGATTCTCGCAGGCTGTGATTCACAATGCATAACATTTTGATAATAAAAAATAAATTGCTGGTTTTGCACTTGCAATTATTTATACAAACAAATCAGTATGTATGACCTAGTGACTGCCAGCCCAAGTGAGCTCTGTTACCTAGCATATCTAGTGAGGGATGAGCTGATGCTAACACATCTTTTATAACCAGGAAATAAAGAGATGGCCTTGAGGAGAAATGCAAACATTTTCATGAAATTTATAGAACTGCAATATATCTGGTATGATTACTCATGTGTAAAATTTAGTTGACCAATGGATTAAAGTTTTATTAATGGAGAATACTCACACATAATGATTGTATATGCCTCATTTCCTTATAAAATCAAGGTAAAAGTACTAGTTTCTAAAAGACAATATTTCTTGAGAAAAAATTTAGGTCCACACTTTACTATTCAGCTTCTAAGTCTGAAATTTTGGAAGGAAAAGACTACTTGTTTTGAAGACAGCAAGCAATGGAATGGAAAATGCAGTATTTAATTACAACTGATATTTCTATTGCTGAGGTTGAAAACTAGCATCATTTGTAAGAACACAACACAGGAAGCTAGCATATGAAAATGTAAACTAGGTTCTATTGATGGAACAAACAACATATTATATCCTTATTCACAATCATACTGCTAATGATCAGCTTGTGTATACAATAGGTTAAACTATCAGAGCCATGTAAAAGATCTGTCTAATCACTGAAAGCAGCATACCCCCTCCTTTATGTAAAAGCAACAGTAAAAAGGCAGATAACCATTTAAAAGACAGATATGTATTCACATATACTAAAAAATATGAACCTACTCTTTAAGGTTGGTCAAGCATTAAGGTTATTAAAACATTTTGTCGCTATAACTGATCAGAGCATTTAGATCCCCAATTAATGTTTTATTGTCTAAATTAAAATGCCTAACTGAAGTTCATATTCTGATTGAAATTAACTTGGCGTACATTAATGCATATTTTAATCCTGAAATATCTGTGCTAGCCTGACACCAAGACCAACTAACTGAAATTATAATGAAGAAAAATAATTTCAGTGGATCTTGAAATAACAGCAACTTCAGGGGTATGATCTGATGCATATTAATTTGAAAAAAATCCAACCAGTTCTTCCCACAAAGCAGAAAACTCCTAAAATCTAAAATTATCACAGCTGCTTTCACCTAAACTGTCTTAAAAGAAGTTGTAACTTCAGAGGGTTTTGTAAAATATTCTCTCTCATGTCTAGCCTTAAATCCACAGCTGCTTAGTATACTGTTATTTATCTTTCTTGGTGCATACTTATATTTTAAAATACTTGAAATCTAACTATTGTCACGTCCAAATGATTTTCTAAAGCAGCATTTGAGACTTGAGTCTTTACAAGGTTATATGGTAATGATCAGGTTTTGTATCCTCACCACTGTTACCACAAGTGTCTGGGCGTGGGAGAGGGGAACAGTGAGAAGCTGATGGCTACTGTTTTGTTTTCATCAGTTTGACCTATACATTATTTTATATGTACCAGAATCTGGGAGAACCTGAAGCGCATGAAAGTAGCCATCAGCTACAGTCTATATGCAGCTCCAGTGAATATAATAAAAGGTCACTACAGGAGAAGGTACACATGAATAGGAGCACTATAATGAAGTATCAGGGACACAGAGAACTTTACAAAGGCTGAATAGGCAGCAGAAGTGAGAGATAAACATATCACAAACAGCATTAATCTTGGAAAATGGGAATGAACTCCTAATGTTAGAAGAAGGGGTAGTAGTATTAAATGGTTCTGATACCAAACAGTAATTTCAACATGTCTATAAACTTACATAAAACATTCCTGATAAAAAAGCGTGCTCAACCACAGTTCAAGGAATATTCCCAAGGTACCTACTATTTTGCGCTTGATTGTAAACAAAGGAATTTTTGCATGTAGAGGGGTTACATACAACTCCTTGTGGACTGTTGATAAATACAATCTTCTTTTAATATTTCCTAAATCAGTTATCCTATAAAAGAAAAAAGCAGGACAGAATGGAACAGATCTTTGTCAATTCAATAATCCAGTATCTTTGGGCAATCACAAAGAAACTATTCATATGAAGAACATTTATGTCAGTGATAGCAAATATGGAATTTAAGAATTACTTCTTTTACAAGATGAGTAATGAGATTTCTTTCTCAAATTCAAACTTTGTGGCTATATTCCTGCATATATAAAATCACTTTACATGCTAATTTTATTTCAACAGTCTACACTCCTCGCTAGATTTCCATATTCCTTCAGACTATGAAAGAATTCAATTTGTATGAACTGAGAACTCAGTAGCCTTTAATAATCACACTTGTTTCTGCCCCTTAAGCTTGTGTTATCTTGGGACACACTGTCACCTGCTAACTAGAAAAACATTATTTGCTCTCTTTTCCTAAAAATGTCCCTGTCATCATAGACTCTTTGTCAGCTTAGAGATAGACACAAGACATTGTCTGTCTGTTTTACTTCCTGAGCACATATGTTCAAGGGTAAATTATAATACAGAAGTTTATTGCTTACTATTCAGGTCATCTCACAATGACATCAATGGCACTGAATTTCTAATAGATTCAGGCCACAACCATGACCACAAAGATTAGGTTTGCTTAAAACTGATAAAGACGCTGATTTTTATGCTCTGTTTCTTTGAAGTCTTGTGGGCAGCTGTATTGGTTTTGGCTGGGACAGAGTTAAATTTCTTCAGAGTAGCTTCTATAGTGCTATGTTTTAGGTTTGTGCTGGAAACAGTGTTGATAACTCAGGGATGTTTTTGTTACTGCTGAGCAGGGCTGACACAGCATCAGGATCTTTTCTGCTCTGCACCCCACCCCACAAGAGGGGAGGCTGGGGGGGGCACAAGCAGCTGGGAGGGGGCACAGCCGGGACAGCTGATCCCAGGGGTATCCCACACCATATGTCGTCATGCTCAGCAATAAAAGCTGTGGGGAATAATTAGGAAGGGGGGACATTCAGAGTGACAGTGTTTGTCTTCCCAAGTCACCATTACACATGATGAAGCCCTGCGCTCCTGGAGACAGCTGAAGACATGACTGCTGATGGGAAGTAGCAGATGCCTTATTCAGCTTTGGTTGCAAGTGCAGCTTTTCCTTTACCTATTAAACTGTCTTTATCTCAACCTATGAGTTTTCACACTTTTACCCTTGTGATTCTCTCCCCCATGCCACTGCAGGGTGGCTGTGTGTGGCTTAGCTGCCTACTGGGATTAAACCACAACGGCAGCACAAAGTTGATATCCTCCAGCAATCCTACCTTATTATACTGGAGAACAGACATTACTTTAAAGGCTGCAATAAAGATCAGTTTTCCTATTATTTTTGAACAAGCCTATTTCTAACAGATTATTATTTCTCTGTAATTAACAGCCTCTCTGAGAAGATCAAGAATAATTACAATAAACAACTTTCTGTCAATACTTAGTGTTGTTGAAATAATTATTCATAATTATATTTAAATGCTGGGTTTTACTTTAAAATTGTGAGACCACCCTGTAGATTTTGAAACTCCCCTAGATCTCCTCATTATGTGTAGAGCTGAGCAACCAGGTAGTTGCAAGAACCAGAGAGCTAAAACACAAACAAAAATACTGTTCCTGCTTGAAACTGTATAATTCTCAGTGGAGAACATTGCTTCAAATGATGCTACGACAAAGTAGTAGGAGCCTAGACTTAAATCATGCATATCTCCAAACAACTGGCAATAAAAACAAGTTCACTGTATAATATTAGTTCAATATGTTTAAGTTATTATTTATTTTTATATGAATAGTTCTATCTTTCTGCCTCCTGAAAAATACTAGGTATTAGTAAATATTAGTAAATGTACAGCTCAGTTACATTCCAAGGCACAAGACAAAATACATCCTTAGATAAAAAATACAAACATTTATATCAAATTGTCATATAAGTCTAAAATAAGTTTTTGTGGTCTGTATGCTGTAGAGCAGCAGCGAACCTTAGATATCTTTATAATCACACCTAAAGAAGTAAAAAACTTATTTCAGTAAACACATTTAGAGCAATAAAAATATTTATATTCTACAGGCAGAAGTAGGTAAAACATTTAAAGACCAGGCAAAATTGGAGAAAGGAGACAGTCTTCTAATTCTGTAAAATAATTTATTTCCTGGGAGAAGATAAATAATTGAGAGTTGGTATAACTTACTCTCAGACTTTTCAGTTACCTTGCTCCCTGGAAAATAAAAATAAAATAAGGGCCTGATGAAACTTTTTCTGAAATAATTCAGACAACAAGTGTTAGGACATTAGAACTCTCACTTGTAAAGTGATTCAAGAGTATTTGTGAAACTCAACCATTTTTTTAACCTGTTATCAAAAAGCATGACCTATGTTAAATCTACAAAGGCAAGAAACATCTGCAGCACATATCTTGATTTTCAATGATGCATTAAAAAAATCTATATGGGAGTTAAAGTATTTTTATTATGTCTGTGCTTGAGTATTTATATCTAAGGGTCAGACATATGATAGAAAAGTAATGAGACCATGTTGAGAAAAATGAGGTAGTCAACAGGAAAATCAACCTCATTTATAATAATATTCCTGTGATCAGCAGGTGCATAACTCTCCCAGCTATGGCCATTAACTGCATTCATTTCACACTTAACATCTACATTTGCAAACCATTTGAAAGTAAAATTACCTTCCAATTCAATTTTCAATTTTATTTTATATCTTCGACTTTGATTGACTATTCTCCTCACAATGGTAACTATAGTGAGATTACAAGTAAATGGTAGCAACCACCCAAGAGTACAGATAAACTCATCTTCTCAGATTACCTATTCACTTTGCTTCTGTATGTATAATAATTTATAACCATTTGTTAATGTTCAATTCAAGGCTTAAAATGAACTTGGAAAAAATGATGCTGGACTGTTGAAGGGATAGTTCATTTATCAGCCTCACTTGTTCTTAAAATGAAAGTGTTTTTCTCCTTATAAATGATTTAAACTGGAAGTTTACCAAACATGAAAGTAGGTATTTCACTGATGTTGCTAAGCAAAGAGCAACTCCCATACAATTTATTATTAATGGAAATCTCTTTGTATCCTGGTCAAAACCCAGATAGAATCCTCTAGTAAAGCTTAACTATTAGTATGTTGGTACTTAGCATCCGTAGTGCCATTTTCTCTATAAAAAGTATGTGCTTCAGAAACTAACGTTAGATAGTATCATCATCATCTCCATTTTAAAGACACAAAACCAGAGGAATAGCGATGGCCAGCTGATTTACCATGCTTAAAGATTCTTAAGTTTCCTTATTCAGGAGCAGTCTGTACTTCACATATATTTTGCTTTGTTTTATGCACTACTTGTAAATTGGTCTTGTAGGAGATAGTACATTACTCAACTGGCTGCCTGATATCTGAAATCCAGAGCACTGTATTCTGCCCACATAAAACGAGACTAAGTTATGGTGGTGGTGGTGGTGGTGGGGGGGTGTGTGGAAATCAATCAAGTCTCTACAAAAATGAGAGATCAGGAAGACTGACATGTCACCTATACTTCGGGAACAAGTTGTAAAGAACCAGAATTAAGGAAAAAACACACCGAAGTCCCCTTACACAGTATCCATCAAAAGGCAGCAATACAGGTGGCAGGTACAAAAAGAGAATCATCAAATCTGTTTGATAAATTAGAAACAAACTTTCAAAATATGAGTGATTACAGAGAACTGCTGATTCCTGAGCTCTCCCTCCAAGCTATCAACATATTTGCAATCAATTCTTCAACTGAAAGAATGACCTGGTATTTTCACTAATCAAGAATAATTTGTGTGAAAGTTTCATTACTCCTAGAACTTCGTGTTTCAAAAACTGTTCTGGAAGTGATCATTAATATTCATAACATTATCCTAGAAACTTCTATCAATATTTTAACATCCTTGGTTTTGATATGAGCTCATCTTTCTCTTCTTTTCAAGTATTTAGTAAATTCTATTTTAAGGCATATTCTTCTGAAGCATGGCGAACTGTGCCAAATAGTTTAGAAAACCATAATTCTAGAAAATAGTTTCCAATTTGTTCAGTACAAAATACTCTAATGAGTATTAATATGTGGAAAGTTTAGTGCCTACTTCTTTTCAAGAATCTAAACAAATTACCCTTATAATGCAGTTATTTATGCCTGCAACTAATTCTGTTGGCTCTTTTCTTTAGTTTATTGGCTTTTATTCTTTCCACTTTGCCTCTCTAGAATAGATAAATTTGTGGAAAGAAAAACAAGTCTGTCCTTTCATGTTTACAAAGACAAAGAAAAGGTTATGTTCGCACCTGCTATATGTAACAGTTCTCTTAAGTACAGCCATATTTCTCCCATTTAAACCATTTATCCTAATTACTTAGAATTGCTAAGAAGTCTGCCCTTTAAAGAGACAAAACTAAGTTTTCTTCCTAACACTGGATCATGCCTTTACTTTATTTGGCATATGAAAATCCTGACTAACAAACCCTACCAATCAAACAAACAAGTTTCAGTTTATTCCATGTTACTTAAGTTGATCCAAACAAAATATACATAATTAGTACTTTTCTTCTCTCTGAAGTCCTAGAAGACAGTAATTTATTCTTTAATATCACCAGGACATCATCTAACACCATGATAGGATTTACTCTATTAATTTAATAGCATATTGTGTGATAGGTTAAAATAGACTCACTACCTTGCAAGTTAAAACTTAACAAAACAAAGCATCTCCCCATTAGTTCCAACAGATCCAATACACATTTAAACAAAGACAAAGTGATACTTGTTAAAATAACCGCTTTCAGGGCATTCTGAAACTTTTGCAGAAATATTGCAACACAGAAAGATAATGTTCTTGAGCTTGGACTGAAGTGGCTAGTGGAAAAAAGGGAAACATTGTGTCCATCCTAAGTTCCATCAGCCTACTAAGCTAAAGGTATTGTGCTATACTAAGTTAAGACTGCCCGTA